ACTTCAAATACGACAGGAAAGCAAATTAGAGAGTGTATAAAACACAATCTTTAGGATTGATTTTTAGATAGTCTGCATTGCAATGCATATTTGGAAATTCCAGGGGGAAGTAAACTCAGAAAAGTAATATCGCTCTGTGATCCTCACGAATACGCTACATTTCATATTCCGGCTGCGTTACCAGCGTGGTTGGTCCTTGTAGTGTAGTGGTTAACAAATCAGACAAGAATACCGAAGACGTGGGTTCGAATCCTGCCAAGGGCATTTGATATTTTTCTCTTATTCTCTCTATTTCATTATATACACASCGAACGCATAATTTATTACTACTATACTATGTCTATTCTTTGCGTACATATCTACRGTGTTCAACTAATCTATAGAAAAAATATCGCTCTGGGATCCTCATGAGTACCCTACATTTCATATTCCGGCTGCGTTACCAGCGTGGTTGGTCCTTGTAGTGTAGTGGTTAACACATCGGACTAGAATACCGAAGACGTGGGTTCGAATCCTGCCAAGGGCATTTGATATTTTTCTCTTATTCTCTCTATTTCATTATATACACACCAAACGCATAATTTATTACTACTATACTATGTTTAGACAATAGATTAGCGGCAAATTTTGAATTTAAATATTCTTCCATTCCTTTGCAAATTAGTGATTTGTGTCACCAAAGATATAGAAAAATAGTAATGTAGGACTTCAAATATGACAGGAAAGCAAATTAGAGACCGTATAAAACACAGTCTTTACGATTACAGTTTGTTTCTTCCAGACAAAGACTGATTATCAGGCTGACASTGTTAGATCTTATCACTATGTTGCTATGCGACAGCACGTTTATATTCGACAACAAAGGTGCCGGCAGTCTTCTAAGCCATGTAAACCCATGGATATTTGTCCGATTTGTAGCAATTCTATTGTTCAGATTCCTACTTTTGATTGGCTAATTCGTAGAAAATTTGTCRAGGTGGCTTTGGTTGGAGTAGTTGCACTGTAAGGTGTTACTGGTCTTTACAAAACTTTTGCAGGTGTATTTTTAGCTTTGCATTTTGCATGCACTCTCTGACTATGAAAGAATAGAAGTCCAAATTTAATGGAGCACTCTTCTTTTTTGAATCTTTTGAAGCCCAAAACCACCTGTAAAACAACATGCCTTAATTAATTCATCTACATTCACTACTAGGAAACAGTAAAGCTTTTCAAATTATTATGTAATAGGAAATTCTGAGGACTTCCAAATTTGAATGAGGCCGTAGGCCGAGTCCAATTTGGCAGTCAGAGTAATTTTTCGAGTCTAATCATTTCTAATTATTTTCCCATTACCTATTAATTATATAGCTGCCTAATTAATCCCATATCAACAAGACCCGTCCAATTAAGAAAATAATTGGACAGTTACCTATATGGGATTAATGAGAAGCTGTATAATTATATTAAATACCTGAAGAAATGCCCAAAATTCTAAAGAAAAATGCTTTACATTTTATCAGGGAAAAGATGTAATTTTGCAAAAACAAAAATCACTCCGTTTCCAATTGACAATTTTCCTTGAATTTTATATTTGGACTCAAAAATAACTTGTACCAGTAATGTTTGGCCCTAGTCCTCATTTTTAGTGATTATTTGCCATCAATTCTTTTTACACAACAAGTGACTTTTTCTTGGAGGTATTTTGTCACTACTGCATATTGGGAAATTCTAGGAAGTAAACTCAGAAAAGTGATATCACTCTGGGATCCTCATGAATACCCTACATTACATATTCTGGCTGCTTACCAGCATTGGTTGGTCCTTGTAGTGTAGTGGTTAACAAATCAGACAAGAATGCCGAAGGCGTGGGTTTGAATCCTGCCAAGGGCATTTGATATTTTTCTCTCATTCTCTCTACTTCATCATATACACACCGGACGCATAATTTATTACTGCTATACTCAGAAAAGTAATGTTTTGTTTCTGATTTATTTTTCAGCTAGCATTGATATTCTGCCTTGTTAAAGGGGCTGATGACTCTGTCATGTATTTACTTGCTGTCAATATGTTAAGTATGTTATAGACTGTATGTAGACCATAAAAGACAGGAGCAGAGCTAGGAATGGTTAGGGTGGCATAGTGGTTTACCACTCGCCTCTCACCACTGTGGTACGTGTTCGAGCCCTGGCTCAGACTGGATCATATGTGAGTTGAGCTTGTTTGTTGTGTTGTTCTCTCCCTTGCCACAAGGGTTTTCTCTGGGATCTCTGATTTCCTCCCTCCATAAAAAGCAACATGTGAGTTGAGTGTTGTATGTTGTAAATATAGAATGTAGTGGTAGTGCGTGTGGAGGGAACCTCACGGAAGAGCCCACGTGGGGAGTGGTGGTTGTAAATATAAGTTAGGGACATACAACAATGTATTTGTGACAACCCTAAGAACATCTGTTTATACAGGAGGTACTGTGCATAATGAGGGAGCAGGGTTGAAGTATGTTTTCAATGGAAACAAGCTTACAATGGTGTCAAAATTGAAACTATTAATTGAAACTAAAATTGAAACCTTCTATATATTGATTTATTATTCTCTTATTAATTTTTCTTTTTTTCTTTGCAGTGAGTAGTTTTATTGGTGCTGTCATCGTAAGTACAATAGACAGACCTTTGAATACTTATTGTTATGCCGTCTGCATGCATCTTGATTGACACGCTGTCTGCTACAATATGATTTCACTAGAGAATAACAAACATGGCAATTTTTATTGGCTGGAGGTGTGAAAATATTAATATATCCTTCTTACATATGTATCCCCTCTTAAGGCCGGTTTAGACAGTACGATTTTCACCTATGCTCACGTCTGTCATGGGGAGTTGTAGGCCTTGTAGGATGGCGTGAGCATGTTGTATACGATGTAGTTGTAGGCGAAAATCGTACCATCTAAACTGGCCTTTAGGCAGGCAAGCCTAAAGCCATTTTCAATCATTAGCTATTGCTTACTATCAATCACATGACTTTTTGGAGTTGACTGGGGGGCAAACAAGCGGTTGACGGAGGGGCAACTAGCGGATGTTAAGTCAAAACATATCAAAATAAGTCCTCAAACTATTGTATTTGACTRTTTCTACGACATGAAACCAGAAAACAAGAGATCAAAACAACCGCCAAGATTCTACAAGGCATTAAAAACACAGCTATTACCGGAAGTGACGTCTATTGATAGCAACCTATTCAGGTTCACTCTGTTTATTCTTCTCTCAGGTTTCTTTAGATTACCTGATAATTTGTGTATTAACTTTTGAAATTCCTAATTTCTTCAACAGGCATGGTGGTATCACAAGGGGATAATTGTAAGTAATGTTATTATATTCACATGCTATATACATGTTTATTTGAATAAGCCTTTTCATAGTTTAAGAATCGACTCCACTGCGCATGCGATTTTATCCCGAATTTCTCGCCTTCTTTTGTCTAAACCTTCTTTTGTTCTTAATTAAACAAAAGAAGGTGAGAAATTCGGGATAAAATCGCATGCGCAGTGGAATCGATTCTTAAACTATGAAAAGGCTTATTTGCTTATTTTAAATGGGTTTTATTGGTCATGATACCAAAAATACCCAATTTTTTTAGTTATTTAGTTATTTCTAATGAAAAATGTTCATACTGCAATAGAAACACATCTTGTCTGTAATCCTTGAACTTCTTATACAATGCTTTTCTTATATTAGATTTTCTTATATTCACAGGAAGCAAACAAAATAGCCTTTATTGTCTTTGTTGGCTTATGTATAATATTTCAAGCAATAATGTCAGATATCTATGTGTATCGTAGACCAACATCAACTGGTGGTGGTGGTACAACCAACCCTACACCTACACCAAAAAATGTCTCAACTCCAATTCCAACTACATCAAAACTGTAAACATCAAACTAGCAGGGCTTAAGGGGATGGCCAATCAGTTGCCGACTATGATCACTGGCCAAATTAGTCTTAGCTCAGTCATACATCATTTCTGGCTCACCATTACTGGTTCAATAATATACCAGCAAAGATTTGACTGGAAAAATTCCAATTCTGGCTAGACATTGTCTGTAGACCGGCCATTATTTCAAAGCCCCAACCTAATCTTGTGCTAATTAAAATACTGTTAAATGCTAGGTATAGATTCTGGGCTTGTACTCATTTCTAAGGGGTTTTTGGTGAGCTTATATCTGGGGGAGGGAGGGGGGCTTATAATAAAAAAGGCGTTTGGGATTAGGATGACCAAGTTACTTCTTTCTTTTATTTTGTCTGCGATTGTATTTGATTCAAATGCATCAAATTAGCTTATGACTGGAAAGATATCTGCTGGATTTTTACATTAGAGTACAAACACTATAAGTGTGTCACATAAATACCACTAAATACTGCTAAGTTATGCTGATCCTATTGTTTTCTATTGTTTAATTAGCGCTATTTACTACTAAATAGTGCAAAGTGTTGCACACTTTTAGGTTTGTACTCTAGCAAACTAGAGGGCTTAATAGAGTGACCACAGTAAATCCGTGAAACTTTAGTAATACTAAATAGCACAATTTCATGCAAATTCCATTGTTTTCTATGGTTTAATTAGCACTATTTTGTACTATTTAGTAATGATGATGATGATGATTATGATTTATGTAGCGCCCTTTTCTATGTGGATATGATCAAAGGCGCTTTACATGGAGTTTTGAATGACAGATTGCTTTTTAYGCAAYTTACAAGCATGAGAGATGGTTAGTATGAAGTGTAGGCACTGAGGGTGGTCACTGCCAGGGTTTCTTTTATGTCCCCCATTTACTGTAGGTTAGGAAGGGTTGGGAGACAGGGCCTATGGTTTTAAGTCCTTGTCCAAGAAGACTTGAAGGTCTAACCGTTTGCAGATATAATTACAAAGGTAGCACCTTCTCCTCAGTTATTTTAAGACCCCAAGTGTTGGTCCGGCAGAGGCTTGAACCACAACCTTCCGCACAACAGACCAACACTCTTACCAACTGAGCTAACCAGGTGGCAGTAATTAGTAATTAGGGTTTCACAGATTTACACTGGTCACTCTACAACCAAGATTTATGGTAGAAAAATTAAATAACATGATTGCTTGGGGAAGACAACATAACAAGAATTATACTTTTAGGCAGCTTTGAATGGAATCAAGCATTGTTCATAATTTATAAGGTGGAAGGGACTATTTTGGCAGTCCCTTTATAAAGTACCTAAATTTACATTCATTTGCCCCCCGCTCAGACACTCAGAATATAATAGCCCTTTATTTATGCCCTCAAAATTCTCATACCCTCCTCATAATAAAATATGAATGGTACTATGAAAATAAACAACTCTACTCACATACRACACAGAGCACTGCAGGACTCAAACCTGGGTTGCATTGGTGAGAGATTGAGGAGCCCAGTGGGGGGGTACTCCCCCATATTTGCTATAATGTGGGTATGTGCCGCCCTATAGGGTATGGTTTTTCAGCTTTTGGGTCTGGGATAGGGTATCATTTTT